AAACCCCTTCAGCATCGAGGGGCGCGTCCGCTAACCCGGAGGACCCCACGTCTCCTGACCCCCAACGCTCAGACCCCCAAACAGCCTGGAACCCCAGTTCCCCTCAGCTCGGGGCGCCCTTCCTGCAGCTCGCCCACCCGGAAAGACCAAATCTCCCCAAACCCAGAGACCCCGAATGCCGTCTTCCTGGAAACCGACTCAGTGGAGGGGACCCAGAAGCCCCTCGTGAGACGCCCCGACTCCCCTCAGCCGCGGCGGTCTGGCCCTCTCCCCCGGGACGCTGAGTGTCCTCCGCCCGGAAGACGCAGATGGAGTCCTGAGGGACCCCGAGCCTCTCAGCCCGAGAGACGGCGGAGTGCCGGACACTGCGCCTGCGCCTCGCGCGGGCTTCTCCGGACCCCGGGGCGCCTCCCGGCCCTTCCCCGGGAGAAGCGCGGTTCCTGCGCCGCCACAGGCCCGCCAGCGGGGTCCCTCAGACGCCCGGCCGGGTCTGCGGAGCCCGCGCTGAGGCGGCACGTGGGGGAGAGGGGGCGGGGCAAGAGCGCCCCCCCCAGGCGGGTCTGCGGCTGCGCGGCCCCGCCCTGTCCAGCCCCTCTTCCACCAGGGCCGGAGTCCCCCTCTCTGGGCGTCCTGCCAACGGGGAGAAAGGCCGGCACTGGAGTGTGAAGTGGAACTCGGACGCGCTCACCAGCCGCGCTCACCAGGTAGCACAGGCGGCCGACCGGGCCGGAGGAGCCTGGAGACCCGGCAGGCGCTGGGCTGGCTCCCACTCTGGCGGCCCCGTGCACCTGCAGCTCCCTCCCGCATGGACACCGATGGGGGGAGTTTGTTCCTTTGTGTCAGAGCGGGGCTGGCGCTGACGGTGCAGCGCTCACGGCAACTCGTTTCACTCTCCCATCCGAGCCAGTCCCACGGGCTTCCTGGGCTTGTCCCTCCTCCACGCTCTCTGCTTCAGGACAGAGGTTTTGTCTCTTCCCAGGTCGCTGGGCCCCGCGACCGGCTTTCCTGTGTCACTGCTGCAGGCGGGCCACCGAGCTCCAGGAGGAGGACGACCCTGAGGACTCCGATGAAGAACAGGCCCCGAGGCAGCAAGGTGAGCGGCAAGAGGAGCCAGCGCTGCCCTCCCGACTCGGACCTGGTTTAGGTCGGGCGGCACCTCAGGACGTCACCAGGGAACAGGTTTGCTGGTGCAGCGGACGAGCAAGAGGCACAACAGTGTGTCGTAGAGTGACGGGCTATTCCCGTAAACTTTCACGTGGGCGACGTAATCGTCTGTATTTATAGACGCATTAGTAAGCAGTAAATGTGTAAGAACATAAAGTGAGCGAGAAATAACTAATTCAGAAGAGTCGTCATCGCAAGGGAGGGAGGCAGGTCTGGCTGGTGAGGAGGGTCCCCACACCTGGCTGATGGCCTGCATGGAGACGCAGGGGGAACAGTATTAACCGTGCTGATTTCGGGAGCTGGGGGGAGGGCCAGGGTTGGGAGGGGTTGATCACCATATGATTTCCTGATGTCGGTCGTGGTGCCGTTCTATCCAGTATCTGTCCAGTATCGTGAGTGTTCGGTGGGTGGGGTCCGTCCACTTTCATGGGTCTGGGCTTCAAACACAGCTGAAGACAAGATGTGATCTTTAACGAGACTGGAATTCTCTTTCTGGGGTCGACAGACTGTGGATGCTGACCAGAGTCTAATGACACAGGAAGGGCGTGGATGGCCAGTATGTGCAGAGTGGGGAGGATACCAGAGAAAGGCCAGGTGATCCCGGTGCCCTTATTCCAGACAAGGCCAGTGTGAATGAAGAAAACAGGACGGAGAAAGGGTTATGTTGAAGATGTGGAGTTTCTGTGCAGTTAGTTTTACTACTTTTTTGTCAGGAGAGGACAATTTATTTTTTAATAAATGTAATAGATGCTTTATGAACATAAGGTGAAGCGTAGATGACACTTTGCCTATTTTTTTTATCATTCTAATGAAATTAGTGAATGGCCCCAATAGAAGCCTAGGCCTTAATGAACAACAGAAAACATTTTCCAATCATCCTGGGATTGTTCTTGGACTACTCTCATTCAGAATTCTGTGTCCCTAATGAGAATCTCCAGGTTTTGGAAACATTTACCAACCAAAACACTGATTTCTCATCATCTTTCAGTGAAACCTTCCTGGGTGGCCTGCAGAAGGGAACACAGTAAACACCAGAAGGTGAGTATTTCCCAAATCCTGTTGACAACAAAATTTTCCTCATGGATAGAAAGGCAGGTAAGAGCAGGGAAATGCAGAAAGTATCCTAGGAACTGATGCCTTCCTTTCCTGGTCTCTTCAACACACTGTCTGACATTATCATCCTTCCTTAAAGATTTTATTTATCGACTTTTTAGAGAGGGGGAAAGGAGGGAGAGAGGGAGAGAAACATGAATAGGTTTCCTCTCCCACATCTCCAAGTGGGGGACCTGGTCCACAGCCCAGGCATGTGCCCTGACCGTGAATGGAACTGGTGACCTTTCAGTCTGCAGGCTCAGTCCACTGAGCCACACCAGCCAGGGCTCATCATCATTTTAATAGTTAACTATAGCAGCAATAGTAACTACCATTTGTTTCATTTTCACAATGTTTCAGACTTTAAGAGTTCTGTGTGAATAAACTCACTTAAACATTACAACAAGCCGATGAGGTATGTACTATAACTCACCATTTATGATGAGGGAAGGGAGCTTTCAGAGATATAGAAATGTTTGATTACATGTCTAAATCACAGTATGTGTGATAGTGCAACCTAACCCATAGTTGCTTCTCTAAACCACTTACGAACTCATTAAAACTTTCATGGTTTTACCCTGGACACCGTGACTCAGTTGGGTGTCATCCTGCAAAGCAAAAGATCACCAGTTTGATTCCTGGTCAAGGCCCATGCCTGGGTTGTGGGCCAGGTTCCCAGTTGGGGTGTGTGTGAGAGGCAGGTGATCAATGTTTCTCACATTGATGTTTCCCTCCCTCTCTTTCTCCCTCCCTTGCTCTCTGTCTCTCAAGGAAATATACAAAATGTTTTTTTTTAATTAGAAAAATAAACTTTCATAGTTTCTAAAGTTTACATTGTCTTATCCATGTGTTATTACATCATTCATCTGACTGACAGTTTCAACCAAATTTCTTCTCTGCTGTGCTGAAGTGAGAGATGCACTAAGGCCCGCCGACTAAGGAAAGCATACATTGTGTAGTCAGTTTGTACAGTGAATGGTCCCAGGTGAAGAAGAATGTAAAATGTCCAGAATCACAGCCTCCCACTCTAATCAAAGAAAGTATCTCCCACCCCTGAGGAGCTTCAGGTTTGATGATTGAGAAATAACAAATAATAAAATGACTTAAGGACTTCATATAGGTTACACACTCTTTAATAGAAACTCATCCGTCTGGAACTGATTTCAAATGCCGTTTCTTGTAAGGTGAAGTAACAGCTTCTTTCTCTGAGTTCCAAGGAGGCTGCTCTAATGCTGTTTAGAATCATTTGTTCAGCCTGCCTACCTCTGTGTTGTGAGCTCCTTGAGAGGCTGGTCCATACCTGAGTCTTCTCAGAAGTCACAGGCTCAGATCAGGGCTCCTGAGAGGGACTCCGAATGTTTGCTGGATGAATGATTTCACAATTACAAATTAAACTAGATGATCAGTGAACACTGAAGGTAATTTCTGTGAGATTTGAAATATGGAGAAAGCTGAGGGGTAGATTAATAGCGGGACTGTAATCACATTCATACTGTATTACATAATTCACAGAACACTTTGTTGAACATTATTTAATTGCACATTCACTAGAACATTGAAAATTAGCATGTTATAGATCATGGAACTTAAGACAACTACCTACTGGTACAGCCTAATTCAAACAATTGGTAGGAACCAGCTAATCTAAGTACAAATATGCTTTCTAAGGTATTTCAAATTTTATCACCATTTTATTTATTATCTAGATATGTTTCTGCCAACTATTTCTTTATTCTCTTCCAAATATCCTTCACTCTCAATATTATAGACACAGTTGAAAGAAGGAGCCATAAGGCATGAGTTCTAATCTTGGATTCATTACCCACATTGGCCCTATCCACTCTAATATTCATACTCCCTAGGTATCTATCTCCAAGGGTTGAAGTATTAAAGACATGCATATAAAATGTATCATAGGCCTTAAAAATTTAAATACATGTTGTCTCTCAATATGTGGCTCTTATATTGAAGGCAACATCCAGGGTGCCATTAAAGCAATGAATATAGTTTGAAGGAATTGTCAGGAACAACAAATTTGAGGACTGCAAGTGACTCAGAGCATGCCCAGAAACCAGTGTCCTCTCCTGGAGAAGCATGTGCCTTTGGAAAGCACACTAGATGAAAATCAGGTTAAGAGAAAAAAATTTGGAAACTTTAGTTCCTCTAAGTCCTGTGGAAGGGCTGATAAGTATGACCCAGGTATGTGGAGCAGACTTTGGATAGGCCTGGATTTAAGCTGGGCTAAGCTCAGGCTGAACTTAGCAGTGGAGCTTTGGGCAAATCCTATAAATTCTCTGAGTTCCTGAATGCTAATGTGTAAAGTGAAGATAAGGATACTTCACTCATACCTCGCTTGAAAACATTAAATTAAATTTAAAACAATTGACACATGCAACTGGTCCAATAAATCCATCTGTGATAATAGCAACCACACTTTATTGGTGTTGTGTGCCCAGGCCTTTACTCAATGCCTAACATATAAAGTGCACTCAATAAACATGTTATGAATGATTAAAGGGTGGCAAGTAAACCTGGTAAGGGAAGATCTAGAATCTAAAATTCAATCAGTCATTTGTAGTTGCTGTGGAGTCTAAGCTTCTGAACCAATAGTTAACGGAGTAAAATATCAGAGTACGCAAAAGGACAAGTAATAATTTGATGGGAGGAGATTGTGTTATCTAACAAAATGGGAACTAACAATTTAGATCCCACCAACCTCGCTCACCTGCCCTTCTCCAACTTAGAACTCAGGAGAAGGGAAATGGACGGGAAGATGTACAGCCTACGAGAAAGAAAGGGCCGTGTGTACCAAGAGGTCAACGAGCTCCAGGATGATGACTACCTTTGTAAGTGACCCTCACTAAGAAGCATGTTATGATACAATAATTTCATCTGGTCCTTTGGTCCCCAAATCATTCCTTTCCTTCAGTAACCTGGAGTACAGGATTGAGTCTCAATGATGTCAGTGTCAGACTCCCTCTGCAGTTCTTTGTGTCCAGGAACATGCCTTATACCTTCCCTAACCCCTGTTGCTCTCACCTCCAGATTGTGACAAGTGTCAGAACTTCTTCATCAACAGCTGTGCTGTACATGGGCCCCCTACATTTGTAAAGGACAGTGCAGTGGACAAGGGGCATCCCCACCGCTCAGCCCTCACCCTGCCCCCTGGGTTGAGAATCGGGCCATCGGGCATCCCTGAGGCTGGGCTTGGAGTGTGGAATGAGGCAGCTGATTTGCCTGAGGGTCTGCACTTTGGCCCTTATGAAGGACACATCACAGAAGACGAAGAGGCAGCCAAGAGCAGATACTCCTGGCTGGTGAGAACTATTTGCCTCTTCCACTATCCTCTGGCTTCCCACATTCCTTCTGAGGCCTGGAGGGACCTCACCTCCCACATGCTAGACATGGAGGGGACAGTATGATTAGCTCTGTGTACTGACTGGACTTTACATGAACACAGAGCTCCTGTTTAAGGATCAGAAGGTAAGTGGGAGCAAAGTGGTGCAGACACAAAGAAGTGGCTCCTCCCTTGTGGGGCTCCTGCTCTGATTGGACAGGTAGACTCGGATGTGTAGAGGAGAACTAAGAAAAATATCATGTGGTCACAGCTGACAGTTGAATCCCCATGCAAGCTGGAAGAGCTTTGATGACAGTGGAATAAAATAATTCTTCTGACTCTTACCTCCCCACACAGAAACTAAAAGGTCTTTACCTTCTGTTTTGAAATGCAGATCGCCAAAGGGAGAAACTGCTATGAGTATGTGGATGGAAAGGACAGATCCTGGGCCAACTGGATGAGGTGAGGTCAGCAGGTCTCTGGGGCCAGAGGGGACTCTCATCCCCCACAAGCCCATATATCTTTCCCTCTCATCATGCCTCCGTCAGTGGTCTCCCTTCATCCTTATTTTCTCTCTTTCTCCATACAGTGTTCTTTCATTTCAGGGGACATTTAGGAAAAAACTATAGCATGTGTCTTCAAAATATGAAGCTCTACTAGAAACAACTTGGGCTCTGGGATGGACCTTGAGGAGCCTAGATTCACCATGGACACTGGATTACACTTTAATTTATCAAATCAACATTAATTAAGCACTTACTGTATTCCAGCTTAGATGCAGGAATACATTACTTAAACAGATCACACAACCATGTCCTTATGAAGGACTTCTTGCAGACAGACATAAAAAAAAAACGCTTTTAGAAGCATTTAACTATAATTTCCAAGAGGTGCACAGTGTCAAGATACCACAAAGCAAGGATGGCCTAAACCTGTGAGGGCAGCAAAGCATCCCGGCCTCACTTCTAATTAGAACTGGGCTCTGAGGTCTGCAGAGAAATGGTCATGGGCCCCTTTCCTGAGAGGGGGCTCTCTTTTTATCAGGGATAACAGAATGTGGATCAACTACTATTGTTCTGTTTTATTTTACTAAGTAAAAAAGGACCTTCAATTTTCTATGGTAACCTTGGGCCAGGTAAGTGAATGGTACCCTAAATAAAGTGTATGGGGGTTGGACAAAGGACTCTCAAGAGAAAATAGATGTGGGCTGAGTACTGGATAATTAATGAGGTAATTTAGAAGCAGAGCCCTAATGAGCTAATTGAGCTAATGAGCCTTAATGAGCTAATTTAGAAGCAGATCAAGCACCAGGCTCTGTGGTGTGAGACAACTCAATTTAGAGTTTGTAGAAACCAGAGATCACTGGATATTATGGCCAATCAGGGTGGAGGTTAAGTCTACACTGTGTTTTAGAAAATGGTATTAGGCAGCATTTGCACTGCAAGCAGGACTTGGAGATAAGAATTCACATGACATGCTGACAGACACTCAGACACTGAACACATTCCCCAGGAGCATGAGGGGCAGTGGGCAATACCAGAGCCTAATGGGCCTTAAGAATCAGTGAGGAGCTGGACGTGGATGTAACAGGTAGCGGGAACTCATCACTGTGATTTTCTTTCCCTTCCTCTGCCTCAATCCCAGGTATGTGAACTGTGCCCGGGATGATGAAGAGCAGAACCTGGTGGCCTTTCAATACCACAAGCAGATTTTCTACCGAACCTGCCGGGTCATCAGGCCAGGCTGTGAGCTGCTGGTCTGGTGCGGGGATGAGTATGGCCAGGAGCTGGGCAGCAAGTGGGGCAGCAAGTGGAAGAGAGAGATCGCGTCCGGGAGAGGTGGGCACCACTGTTCTACAAAACAGAAAGAAGAGAGAGAATTCTCCATAGAAATATTCATGATCCAACTCTTAAGTAGAGTAAAATCCACTCTAAAGTCAGTCAAGTTTCAACTCAGATGCTTCAGAAATTCACAATTCATTCATATGCCTTTGACTCTTAGGCAAAATTTTTATATTATTTTTAAAATATTTCATGAACAAAATACACAACTGCATATAGTACTAGAAGACTGAAGAGCAAAAAAAAGTTTTTAAGTACTAACCAGTTCTCTCACCAAGGCAGTTTTTCTGACACTTTTATAGCTGTTTCTTCTAATTTTCCTCCATACTTCTAAATAAAACATTTTTGTTTATAGGCATTCATTATTTTTTAAAGATTTTATCCTGGCTGGTGTTGCTCAGAGTATTGAGCACCAGCCTGTGAACCAAAGGATTACCAGTTTGATTCCTAGTTGGGGCACATGCCTGGGTTTTGGGCCAGGTCCCCAGTAGGGGGCATGTGAGAGGGAACCACACATTGATGTTTCTCTCCCTCTCCCACCCTCCCTTCCCCCTTTTCTGAAAATAAATAAATACATAAATCAAATCTTTTTAAACAAGCTTTTATTTATTTTTACAGAGAGTGGAAAGGTGGGAGAAAGAAAAACCAATGTGCAAGGGAAACATTAATTGGTTGTCTGTGGCATGCCCCCAACCCTGGCATGTGCCCTGACAGAATGGAACTTGTAACCTTTCAGTTTTCAGACAACACCCAAAGCACCAAGCCACACCATTCAGGCAGGGCACATTTGTTCACCATTTCAGTGAATTGTCAGGTGAGATCCTACTCTGAGGCGCACACGGTCCTGGGACCTGGAAATACAGATTAACATGAGGGTGAGAATCACTGTTTTTGAGGAGCTGACCAATAAAGGAGGGAAGCCCAGGCACACGTGCCTGCATGTGCATAACACTACACAGTGGTTAGTGCTTTGGAGAAAACTAATCCAAGACAAGTGCCAAGAGATCAGTGTGAGGGGAGGTGCGGTGTGGCACGTGGTCCAGGAAGGGCTCCCTCAGGAGAGAACATTTACAGAAATACCTGCAGGCAGAGGGAGCAGCTACTGCAGGGAAGAAAAACAGTGAGGCGTTGAATTGGCTGAGGGTCATTCAGGTCTCATCTCGGCCTAGAGGGTAAGAACAGAGATCAGACACATGCTTAAGAGCCCAAGAATGCAGTGCTGATGACCAGAGTTGAGACACTGGGCACTTTTCTGAGTCTAAGTGTGCTGTCGTCAGCTGCAGAATGGTGTGTTCTCTGTTCTGATCATGCTTTGTTAATTTTTAGAAAATAAACTCCAGTGGGGAATCCCCTCAGAGATTATTTCCTCTCCAAGTGAGAGCACATGGTGGATTGGCCAGAGAGCAACAGGAGTCAGGCATGTAAGACATGTGGTTGGAGAAATATTTTTAAACAGGACTTACCAGGATATTTAAAATGGACTAACACTGAATGAAATGAAGCACAAATATTTGGTGTGAGGCTTGAGGAATGACTTCCTTTTTAAGATTTTATTTATTTTTAGAGAGGAAGAGGAAGAAAGACAGGGAAACATCAAATCATGGTTGCCTCTCACATGCCCCCTGCTACTACTGAGGACCTGACCCACAACCCAGTCACGTGCCCTGACTGGGAATCTAACCTGTGAGCCCTTGCTTCACGAGCAGGCACTCAATCCACTGAGTCCACACAAGCAAGAGCAGGAAAGATACTATTTTATAGTTTTGAAAAACTGAAAGAGATCCAATTCCTAGTTTTATTTAATATGACGTAGAGGGTACCTGTAGAGGGGAAAGGTCACTGCAGTTCAGGGAGTGAAACTGCCTCCCCTGCTACTCGAAAGTTCTCAGTCTGAGCAATGTTAGCAAAGACCCTTCATGTAGGCTTTCTGGAATTCGGAAGAAGGTGCACTGCATAAAAATAAAAAGAAAGAAAGACTGGGAGTGCACACTTTGTGGGAGACGGAGCTTGCGTTGTCACCACAATAAGAAGGATTCATTGGGCAGATCTTACCAGGAGACAAGTCATATGGCCCAGGCATTCTCATCAACATCTGCCCTGACCAAACCTTTCTCTTTCAGCAGAACCAAAGCCAGAGGTGCACCCATGTCCTTCCTGCTCTCTGGCCTTCTCCAGTCAGAAATTCCTCAGCCAGCACGTGAAACTCAATCACCCCTCTCAGATTCTCCCGGGAACATCTGCAAGAAAACACCTCCAAGCAGAGGACCCCTGCCCAGAGGATGAGAATCAGCAGCAACAACATACTAGTACACACAGCTGGAATGATAAAGCTGAAGGTCAGGAAGTCAAAGAAAGGTCCAAACCTTTGCTTAAAAGGATCAGTCACAGGACATTCTCAAGACCCTTTTTCCAACCTTCCAAAGAACAAATGACAAGTTCTAGTGAGCATGAGAGGATGATGGAGGAAGAGCCCCGCATAGGCCAGAAAGAGAGTCCAGAGGACACAGGGGAATTATTTGTGAAACCTGGAATGTCAAAAATTTTAAGAGTCCAGCACGGTGGTTGCTGGCAAGGCTTCAATGATGGATCACATCTCATCGCACACCAGAAGACAACCTCAGGAGAGAAGCCCTATATTTGCAGGGAGTGTGGGCAAGGCTTTACAGACAAGTCAAATCTCATCACACACCAGAGGACACACTCAGGGGAGAAGCCCTATGTCTGCCAAGAGTGCAGGCGAGGCTTTACAGACAAGTCAGATCTCGTCAAACACCAGAGGACACACTCAGGAGAGAAGCCCTATGTTTGCAGGGAGTGTGGGCGAGGCTTTACACAGAAGTCAAATCTCATCAGACACCAGAGGACACACTCAGGGGAGAAGCCCTATGTTTGCAGGGAGTGTGGGCGAGGCTTTACACGGAAGTCAAATCTCATCACACACCAGAGGACACACTCTGGGGAGAAGCCCTATGTTTGCAGGGAGTGTGGGCGAGGCTTTGCACATAAGTCAGATCTCATCAAACACCAGAGGACACACTCTGGGGAGAAGCCCTATGTTTGCAGGGAGTGTGGGCGAGGTTTTACAGACAAGTCAGTTCTCATCAGACACCAGAGGACACACTCTGGGGAGAAGCCCTATGTTTGCAGGGACTGTGGGCGAGGCTTTACAGACAAGTCGGATCTCATCAAACACCAGAGGATACACTCAGGAGAGAAGCCCTATGTTTGCAGGGAGTGTGGGCGAGGCTTTACATGGAAGTCAAATCTCATCACACACCAGAGGATACACTCTGGGGAGAAGCCCTATGTTTGCAGGGAGTGTGGGCGAGGCTTTACACGGAAGTCAAATCTCATCACACACCAGAGGACACACTCTGGGGAGAAGCCCTATGTTTGCAGGGAGTGTGGGCGAGGCTTTGCACGGAAGTCATATCTCATCAGACACCAGAGGACACACTCCGGGGAGAAGCCCCATGTTTGCATGTGAAGTGAATGAATCATTACCATTAAATCACATGTCAATAGCCCTCAGACGTCTATGGAACCTTACTCTCCCCAAGATGGTAATTAGTACAGAAGTCACTGGTTAAACAAACCCTCCAGTTTCATGACAAGAGATGAGATGGATAAATAGTTCCATGAGTAATATGGGGATATCAGCACCAATCTCTTTCATGGTTTTTTGATGGCCTTTTCTGGAGTTTTGTCTCCATACAAAAATGAAGCCCACGTCCCTCTCTCAGCCACAGAAATTCAACCCCTACAAATGGGTGAGTCTGGAGCCAGTCTACTTTGGTTACTGCCCAGAGACAGGGATTTGAGACAGACTCACCAAAGAAGGAAATTCCCTGGACTCCTGGAAAGTGGGGCCTTTTCTCTTAATAGGCTCCCTACCCTCCTCCCTTGGCTTCCTTTGGCTCTTCTAGTTTCCTACAACCTCCGAAGCCTCAGAGGTGAACAGCACGGGGGGGGGGGGGTATGCTAGTGCACGGGAGTGAGCCTGTCTCAATCTGAGCACCTGGTCTTTCTCACTCTCCTTGCTGCCCCTTCAGAGTCAGCATTTCCTGGTGCACAGTATGCACTGGTGTGTGAGGATAGATGGTAAGCCAAGGCAGGGAGGACAAGGAAGACAGGTCTGACCCACTAACTCAGCAGTCCTGAGCCTGGTCCAATTCTATTGCTAGATGGTGCAGCATCACAAGAAACTCCATGCTAACACATGGAAGTTCTAGGTATCATTTCCACCATCTGGGAAAGAAAGGCTTTCAGACTATTCATCCCAAGGCCTAGAAGATGGGAGGGGGTCCACAGCACTCAAGGAAGGACTCGTAAAACAAAATAGGCTAACCATTTGCCTCTGTCAACTGTCTGTTTTATGAAGCGTCCCTAATGTTTACAGAAAGAGCCCATAGATAACTTTGGGTAACTGTTTTAACTTTAACTGTCTCCTGTCTCGTATGTATTTGACAAGATGACCAAATGGGGTCTGAAGCCAGATAAGGATTTGGGCTACCGACGCCCACACATACCTATGTTTGAGTAGTCTCATCCCCCGTGGAAGCTGGCACCACTTTTACCTGTCAACCAATATGTAAGTTCTTTGCCCCCATTGCACCAACTATATAAGTTCTCAGGACAAAGGACCTGGTGCTCTTGTCACCCAACTTCTTGCCTTTCACTCCCATCTCAGCAAGACCTGTCCTCTTCCATGAGAACGTATCACTAACAAATCCTGCTTGCATGCTAATACACTTGCTGATCTGTAATCCTTTAGTGCATTGGCAAGAAGAACCAAGTTTCTCCTGTGACAGGTGCACCCAGTCTGCATATGTCATTCATGAAGCCTGCAACACAGGAGCTTCTGTAATGCACTCTCCTTGTACCTGGGTCCCAAGGGCTGAATACACCACTGACACCATCTTGAAATTAGTACTTACTGTATCTTTACACTTTTGTTTGTGAGGTCAAGACTGATGAGATAATGGACATGCACACTGTTGGTCATTCCTGGCCACCCATTCACAGATAATGTCTACAATGGCCCAGGAGGACAAAATTCCAGTGGGCCTAAT